CAAATCTCAGGTCTTTCCGTAATCCTACTGTACCTTACAGAAAACGAAGATGCATAAAATAAATGCATATCGGCAAAATTTATGTTTTGAGATAGAATAGTAGATCATCTTGAATGATCTTTGAGAAACGCTACAAATTCTAGGAGGAACTTACGGATTCAAATCGTTTAATGATGCTCATAGCCACCAGGCAATAGTAGACCTAAAAATAAGATTTCTAGATTTTGCATTTTTTAAAAAGAGTCTACTTACCAGATAAGCTATGCAGATGACATATATCAGAGCCAACAGTGTTGTGACTGAGATTGTCGCGGGAGTGAGACCCAAATTTGTGTTCACCCACGCAAAAAGGAAGTAAAAGTTGATTAGTAGTACTACCATAGAGACCGTAACTGCGAATGCTTTCTGTACCCTGCAAAAAATGAGTCAAGTCTATTTATATTTTGCAAAGTTGAGTTATTAAAATAAGGAAGGTGGCAAGGTTGTGGGTGGCCATACTCTGTCGCAATTGGTTGAGATTCTAACCTTCTTTTGTGGACAGTCACCAATGTTAACGGCCAAAAAGAGGAAGGCAAAGAAATAAACTAATTTGCCTTGTGAGTTGTAGATTTTATATATTAATGGGTTCTTCTTTTAAAATTATGTCAGCTCTTGCAGAACGGAGCTGAATTTAGAAGAAATTAATAGGAGCTTGAAGTTTTCTAGAACTTCCTTTTTTCTGCATATTTTTCCAGAAGATCTGTTAGTATTTTCGTAAATTATCTAGTTATTTATGACATTATTTATACATAGATGTACTAGTTTGGAGTGACTGTAGTGGTATTGATGGTTTCGCACTAAGCTTTCAACGACATCAACAATTTGCTGTCGTATTTTATTTGAGACATTGTTTTCCTCTTCTAAAATTGGAACTTTAACTGGGAGTTTTCAAAAAGATTTTTGATGTTTCTCTTTTAAAAATGTGCCAACGAATGGACCACGCCTTTTCGTTAATTTAGATAGGACATCATATTGACTAACCTTGTTGTTCTAAAGTTGAACATAACCCGTTCGTCTGATACAAATGTCAATACTGGAAAGATGGCAAAAGGGAGCTGTACCATCTAAAAAGAAGCAAAAATTATTTTCGTATACTTTACAGAATATTACAAAACTCACCTGTACGCAGTTTAAAAAGTCATTAATTCCCGTAATGTGGTCTATTCCACCGCTGAATACAGCAACTAATAGTGTTGGACCCATAGCTATAGACCTAGAATCAATATATTCTCGATTTTATGGTGCAAAATTTTAAAATCGCTATCTAC